TCTTCTTCGCCGAAGAGAAATGCTGTTACTTTGATTGCTGTCTCCACAGCTTCTTTTCCATGAATTGTTTCTACAACATATTTAGCTAATTGCATTTGACCATATCTTTCTGCTGTGTTTTCGGCGTGTTGTGCAATAATTGCCTCAATCTCATTAAGTGGCAACAGCGTAAACAACTTTAAGAATCTTCCTACGTCTGCATCAGTGACATTCATGAAGTATTGATATATCTTGAACGGCGTCGTCAGAGTTGGATTCATCCATAGCGCATTGCCTTCAGATTTACCAAACTTTTTACCATTACTATCAAGCACCAAAGGTGAGGTCATACCATATGCATCAGCATCAAGTTTTTTCTTGATAAGCTCAATACCTGTGACAATATTTCCTCGTTGATCTGATCAACTAATTTGCAACATACATTTTTTCTCATTAAACAAACGTACGAAGTCGTATCCTTGTAAAAGCATATAACTGAATTCTGTATAGCTGATCGATTTATCAGGATCTTCGATCCTTTTTTTAACTGTTTCTTTTGCCATCATTTGATTTACTGTGATGTACTTTCATACATCTCTTAGGAAGGTCAAAAAGTTCATGTCTGTATAAAAGTCTTTATTATTGATTACTTCGAATGCAAAGTGCGCTCATGAAAGAGCAGAGAGATTTTGTAGTATTCATGTGACTTGATTTTTAATAGCTTCTATATTGCTATTTAGTACCTCATCACTGAGAAATGACCTTTCGCTATCTTTTCCACCTGGATCACCGATCATACCAGTTGCTCATCATACAATAAGAATAAGTTTGTTGCCACGTTTCATGAAGTTTACAGCGTTCATAAAAACAACAAAATTACCTAAATGCAATGATTGTGCAGTAGGATCACATCCAAAATAAAATGTATGTCAGCCATTCTCATAGAGATCAAAAAGTTTATCGCTAGTAGATTGATACAAAAATCCACGTTGTTCTAATTCTTCCTTCAGGTGCATGCATTTGATATTATAAATAAACAATACATCTATATGCAAAAAGTGTAGTAATGCAAGTGTTTACTTAGTATCTAAAAGTTTCAACTGTGTCGTTTATTGTTGGAATATTCATAAAAAATATGCGTTCTTGTTGTGCAAGTTGTGTAGTTGTATTTATAATCTCTTGTCGTAATGCATTGTATTTTTGTAGGTCTCAGTGCTTTTGAAACCATGTCATATTTTGTTCTTCGGTTGATTCTGTTATCTGTTGTGTCTTTTTATCAATTTTGTATGTATTGTTGTGTTCATAGAGTTCATTGGCGCTTTTCTCATGTACTATACGACTACGCGTAGCTTCGAAATATTGTACAATATGCCTATATGTCATTAACTCTTTTGCAGTATTTCCACATATGCGAATAAGTTTTTCCATATACTCGCTCAGTATTTCTGCTAATTCTCTCAAACATCATTCATCTATGTCTGCATCATTGTTGAAATCTATATTACTTGGATTGTAGTGTGCTATATCATCAGATCATAATAAAGTTTTAATTTTATCCATAATATTTTCTTTTGTTGTGCCTACAATGTATTCTGCATCAATGGTGTCTGTGTGTGGTATTGCTTCTAGTGTGGTGATTATTGTTTGAGGATCTATGCTATTATAATATCCATGTTTGCGGATGATACGATTACAAGCTCATATACATTCCTGTATTGTTTTCTTTTGTTGTTGTGTGTGCGTTTGCCATGTTATGTATTTGTAGTCTTCACAGTAATCTGTTATGTCTGGATGTATTTCTGTAAAGTCTGATAAATACCACTCATTACATAAGATAGTCAAGGGGATTAATGCACTAGCAAGTGGTGTCTCATTTACGTTGATGTTTTGTGTGAGTGTGATTTGTTGTTTTTTATAAACTTCAACAGCAGCAAGATGTCATAAAAAAGTTTCCCAGTCATGAATATTGATGTGTGATGCTATTGATGATGATTCTATACTGCTTGCGTATTTTTGTAGTTGTGCTTCTAATAGAGCTTGTAGAGTGCCAATTTCAACACAGTGCTTAATAGTTTTTTCACAAGGACCATTATTAACTATTTGAACCTTAAGGTCGAAAAACATTTTTCTAAATGTGAGGTTGGGTTTTACATGTCGAGTATTTGTGTCATGTAGATTTATTTCTATATGCTTCGTATTGGGAATGTTGTGTGGAGGGATGAATACTTTTCCTCATATCTTTCCTTGTAGAAATTCATTTATATAATAGGCCTTTAGATATCTTTCTTTATTTGTAATTACGGGTAATTCTACTTGTGAAAGAATATCTTTTATCTCATGCCAGCGATTTTCTATTGCTTGTTGTAATGAGTTTCCAGTGCCTCATAACTGATCTTTATGTGTGACATACTTTCGTATTGTTAAGAGATTCGATCAAATAGTTGATAATTCTTTTTTATATGGTTGTTTTGTGAGCGCGATTAGTAGGCGTTCACTCGTATCTTTATCTAATGTATAATGTGTAGAACCAAAAAT